TTTCGTCCTCCCAAAGGAGTTTGGTAGCGATTAATCGACCCCAGGTGAGTGGAAGAAATGGGGTAGAGTCACTAGTTTTACCCACAGAAGACGTTGTCATATTACCTACCATCTCCTATCCTATCGATTCAATGCTTTACTCTTTTGGAAACCCGATGGCAGGTAGACCTTGAACACCTCAAGGATTGCATGTACTGGTTTCAGGATGAAGCAGGACTGACAGAGTATCCCGTCGAATATTAGGATCAGAAATCATAGCTGTAGAAGGAATACATAAACCTATGAACCAGCATGGCCAGGGCACAACCGCATGCAGCAGCTCCCATCCCTTCACATCCTCAAACAGTCTTGATCGAGTCAAAAGACTTTTTCACTATCGCCATGTTATTAGGCTGCAGAATTCGTTTACTTTTTATTTTTTTTTCACCTTTTATACCTTAACAGAATTGGGTGAATAAATGGAGCATGCCCTACGCACGAGTAGGCCTTTCATCTTCAACTGGTAGCCTCTCAAAAAGAGAGCCTGAGAGGACTGCGTGCTCAATTTGCTCAATTTCGGTTTTATGTTTCCACTCTGATTAGATGAAGGGCATCGAACAACAGTTACCAGTAGTCAACCTCGGAAACTAGTTTGTTGCAGTAATGTGATTGAAAAATTACTCGATAGGTAACCGAATCGAGTTTCGGTAAAACTGCTCCAATGATGCCTTGATGCTTCCATAAGTGCTGGGTCAAGGATAAAGTGTCCAACGAAACTAAAAGAAAAGGAGGGAAAAAATTCTAGACATTAGGAACAGGAAAATATAGAAAATAAATCTGAGCGTATTCTACCGAAACTACTTGGCGAAAGGGGAGAGAAGTCAGAACTATGTATAAAATCACAATTCCAGTGGCAGCAACGACTTGCTGAACCTGTGTGAAAGAGCGAACAACTGTCAGCAGACAGTTGGGAAATGAAAAACTGATCATTTTTATTTATTTATTTATTTATNGACCGTTGGACCAGGGCGGTTACTGACTGGATCCCTCGGGACATCAAACGAACACCAGGAAGGCCGCCGACGAGATGGTCAGACTTCTTCACGAAAGCTCTGAACGAAAGGAATGTTGAACCTCGTGTCCCTGAAGCGAGAACGGTTTACTGGACCACTTTGGCTCGTGACAGGGACGAATGGAGACGTTACTGGCGAACGCTCGAGGATTTCGATGATCAACGGGACGACAGGTGATACAGGTGATATCTGTTCTGAATAAGTACTGACATCGGCAAATGGCGCTGCCGAAAGTTGATTCAAAAAATTTTGCTTACTATTTATAAAATTCCTTAGCTCCCTGAATTTCCTGAGCTCCCGTTCCAATTGGCACTGATTGCAATGACTCTTTTACGTGCTTCTTCAACTCAGCAGGAGTCAGCATCCTGAAAGTCATTACGAATTCGATCATTTCAAGCTATATTCATCGACAGAACTATGGTTCATGGCACGACAGCGGTTATGGTTAGTGGAAGGCTGACCGGAAAGTTGGATCGTTCCAATCTTCCGGCCATGACTTGAAATTCTGGGATCGGTTTAATTTGTGATTGATTGAAACATTAGTACTAGGGAACCGATTTAGTCTCGAGTCTTTTTTGCATTCATTCATCTACGTGTCTGTCGGCCTATTCATTCATCATATGCACCTGGAAGAATTCCATGTCACATGAGTTCAGTAGGTACAGCGTAAATGCTCAACCGGACCGCCCAACAGATAATGTTTCATTTTAGGAGCAAGAAAAGCAAAAAGCAAAGTAATATCATTGAACGAATTAATGGAGGATGAATTCCCTGACGTTAATCAACTCATTTTGGGATGCGCCTCACATTCAATTCTCATTGAGAAGCATGGTGACAGTTTGAGTGACTATATGGCCTATAATATCGATTGCGGTGGTGGCCGATGTACAAGGCTGTGTTTCGTCCCCCCAAAGGAGTTTGGTAGCGATTAATCGACCACAGGTGAGGGGAAGAAATGGGGTAGAGTCACTAGTTTTACCCACAGAAGACGTTGTCATATTATCTACCATCTCCTATCCTATCGATTCAATGCTTTACTCTTTTGGAAACACGATGGCAGGTAGACCTTGAACACCTCAAGGATTGCATGTACTGGTTTCATGATAAAGCAGGACTGACAGAGTATTCCGTCAAATATTAGGATCAGAAATCGAACAGCATAGCTGTAGAAGAAATACATAGACCTATGAACCAGGACGGCCAGGGCACAACCGCATGCAGCAACTCCCATCCCTTCACATCCTCAAACAGTCTTGATCGAGTCAAAAGACTTTTTCACTATCGCCATGTTATTAGGCTGCAGAATTCGTTTACTTTTTATTTTTTTTTCACCTTTTATACCTTAACA